TTTATTCAAAGTGGTGTGTGTATTTCTCTGATATGACATTTCCATCTTACAGGTCCTTTTCCCACATCGTTCCCTTTCTTGGGTTAGTTGGGCACATCTCCCTTCTAGATGAGCCGTGACCCCATCCCAATTCCCACCATTCTATCTGCCCTTTATCTCTACCTCCTACTCTGTTTCCACTTGCCCTAACAATACTCTCGCTCACCTCCTCTTGTCTGTGTCCCCCTTTCCTCCACATAATGGCTATGCTGGTATCCACTACTCCTTTAACCCCTGTAATCATCACAGGGAGGGTACTCAGAGTACTGCAGGGCTCAAAAATTGTTGGGAGGGCCCTCACAGGTACTGGAGGCACTGGGAGAGTATATGGGAGCTTTAGGGAGTACAAGGTTCCCTGGGAGGTCCTGGGTAGCACAGGGGACTGTCAGGAGCACTGCAGGGGACTTGAGTGCTCTGCTGGACTCGGAGGGGCTCTGGGGGTTGGATACTGGCGGGGATGAGGGAGGGTTACACAGTTTCCTATGAATCTATCAAGCTGAGCTACTCCTGCATGAGTTGCTCATTTGTTCCCTATTTCACGTTTTCCCAGCCCTCAGCAATGGATTATCCAGAGGAGACTGGGAGACTTCGATGATCCGAGATCACGCTTCCAGAGTGGTAGGTTGCTACTACACAACAAAAGCTTCTTCATTCAGTCCATCCTTGCAGAATAATAATATTATTATGGATAATTTCTAGCTCAAAATGTATCAGGGCAATTAGTGCTTTCTTTCAAGTTTGAAGACATAATTAGGTTTTACAGCTTAGTTTAAAAATACCCTATTTTCCAAAAGTAAACTTCAGCATGACATAGGTTATTGGCAGAAAATTGCTACATAAGACTGGCTTGTTTTCTGTCTCTTTTCAGAGTTCAGATTTATTTATGAAGTTCAGCTTTATTTATAAAGGCATTTGTGTACATTTTGTCTTACCTGTCCCGAAGGGGGGAAAGCTTACTGGAAACTACTGCATAAAAGTTCCCTTGCTGATGGAACTTGTCACAATTAAAAGTGTCAGATTTGGAAAAGTACTTGAAAAGGTAGTAGCATCTGAGTGAAATTGTAAAGCTTATCAGCACTTAAATAAATGTCCCTAGCAAATGGGAGAATTATAGTACAATCCTTTGTTAAATCTGATAATGTGGTTATTAATGGGAAATACTAAATAGGTCTACTGAGAAATCTGACTCCTTTCTGTTTTATAAAAGCATAGCCCTCCAACAAAACACATAGATACATGTCACATGGAAATCTTAATAGATCTCCAGTGGGGTGAATGAAGAGAAATTTATCAGACTCCTCATTAACTTAGTGCGACAGCCTTGACTGGCTTTTCCTCTAGATTTCCCCCTACTGTGTTTCATTTAGTTGAACAAAAATGTAATGCTTATCCTGAGTCTGATAAATTTTAGGCTTTTAATATTCTTTTGCAGTTGTCATAATATTATATTTTACATGTTTCACTGAACTGAATATAAATTTCTGCAGACAGAAATAAATAAGTAGAAAGGACTAGAAAAAATTGACATGTATTATGAAAGACAGGTTGGAAAAATACTTGCAAGAAAGATAAAATGACAGGCTTTGCTGCTCTGGAAAGCAGAAGTGTAAAGTTACATGGATATAAGTGCAATTTAATAATATCTATATGCTGTTGTTATGTTAAAGTGTTCTGATAAGGTAAACAGGTTTTTCCTTTCCCTATTCATTCGACCACCATCTCAGAAAATCAATGTGGCTTCTAATCTTACCTTTTAGAACTTGATTCTTCAAATGTCATTGTATGTTTAGGTACCAACTCAAACAAAACAAACAAACAAACAAAAAGAAATTTACTGTAGTTATGATGTTGCTAATTTATTCCACATACTTGGGGAAATTTTTCATACTCATGTAATTTTCTTTATTGTGTTTTAGATCCAGTAGCCCCAAAAAGCTTTTCTCTCTTTTGACTTCAGTGATTTGAAGTGGAATGGCACACAGAAATATAGAATCAAGCCATTTTATTCTTGCCCATTACAGTTTTGCTGTTTCTTTATTTTTTGTACATGTGGTAAATTACTCTGTACCTGCAGTTTTTGAGATTCAGATAAGACAGCCACTCCTGTTTTAGCAGGTCCCTCGTTTATGGGGGAATACTTGCATATGTCCCTACACATTCCTGTTGCTTTTGTTCTGCTCTCTGCTACTCAAAACTTCTACATGTAAAAGTGGAAAAAAAGAGTATAACATAATTGCTATTGCTTAGAAACACTAAGCAATAATGGCTGCAAACAGCAGTAAAATAATCAACCTTTACTTCAATTTGTTTGTTCTTTCCCATGTAATACTGTATAGAACTGTATGTAATGGAATACATATCAACCTACCATGTAGCTTTCCCCTGCGAATGAAAAGCTTCTGTAGTTGCAGTCTTTCCAGTGCATTCCTTCCTCCTTCACGAATTAAATACCTAATGAGTCAAAACAGAGCTGAAATGGGATGCAGGCAGTCAAGTACAGGATGAAGAGTTTATGCTTTCAGGGAGTGCATGTCAGGAGAAAGATTGCATGTCTGATTAACAGGTAGAAGAGCCTAAATTCCATTCTTGGTATACTGTCCAGATTTCCTCCAAAGTCTTTAACTGCAAAGTAGATATGAATATGACTCCTGCTGACATTGGTAGCAATTTGCTTCTGAGGTGGCAAGATTAGAGACGGTAGGAGTAGCTTTTGAACTGGGATATTACTAGAATCCTTTCTATTCTCAGTAAGAATAATTCCCAGCTATAGGTATCATTTAACACTAACGCTGCTTCCCCGCCAGCTGCACAGATCATGATAATCCAAATGATCCCAAAAAATTGTATGTAAGTGCGTGGGAACTGTACTGCCATTGCATTTCTAACACGGAATATATCCTTGGAGCTAGCAAGGATGGGGAAGGCCGTGACGTAGTACAGCTTGTGGCACGAAATTGAACCCCTTGGTAAGTAATTACCAAAGAATGGAGGAAGGGGCATACATCTATTGGGTCATACTGTTCATGGCAGTGAACAAGGGAGTTCACAAAGCCTGAAAGGTAGCAACAACTACAGTTAGATTTCTATGCACGTGTCACAGCCGAAGAAATACTAAAAGCAATGATCAGAGGAGCTAAAATGAGCTCTGTGAAAAAGACAGTCATCGGTAAAGGTCGTCTTTAAGTGGAATTACCACCTACCTTAAACAAGAGTCATTAAGTATCATTAGACTTGAAAAAGAATTCGTCTTTAAGACTCCCTCAAATCCTCAAGACAATTTCTGTTATAACATATACAACATGCCTTCTCTTCCCTCCCCCAAACTAAACAACTAGAAACTAAACATGGGCAACTTGAGAAAGCTTCACTGTTTGCACGAGTGAATAAACTCTGTTTTGCCTAGGTTGTAGCATGACTTCTGGGGTTTCCTGAAGTTGTCCGTGGAAAATCTTATTTTCAATTACTTGTTAACTTCTTGAACTTCAGTCACATTGGCCAAAAATCTGAAAGTGTGTGTATGACTCAAGCTGTGAGTCTTTATGTAAGGGAGATGCATTCTTGGCAAACATCTACCCTTGAAAATAAGGTTAGGAAAAAAATGGGTTTTTTTTACGAAACCAAAACAACACATGACATCTTACCATTGTCCCTTAGAAAAATTCTAATGTCACCTTCTTTTACAGTTGATGCTAAATTTGGTAGAAGAATTGCTTCCTTATCAGGAACGTGCTCTTTCCTGTGTACTAAATTGTTGTTACCTGCTATGCCTCTGCAAAATTTGTTTACAGAAGCTCTCTATCTCAGATTTTACTCCCCTTTTCATTCCAGGCTTTACCTAACCCGTGCTCCATTCAGTCTCTTTGCAGCTGTGGAGCAGTTGTGCTGTATCATGGTCAAAGTGAACCAGCAGAGCCGTGAGCTCCCTCCTGCAGTGACCCACCACTGTGCGCAGGGGTGGGGGGAAGGAAACTTGGTTGAACGCACAGAGGGAAGAGCTGAGCCTGCAGGAGAGGAAGCAATGGGTAAAGCAAATCCACAGTAGGGGTAATGAAAGAAGTAACCCCCACTGATGGCAAGAAAAGCCACAACTATTCTGACAAGAGTGTCCAGTAGTCCTCTCAGGTCTCCTGTGCTCACTGTGGCAACTGGTGAGCAAAAGATGGTAGCAGTAACTAGGAAGATCCAGGTAGGGTGAGGAGAGAGGAGACACTGAATGCCAAAACACCTTGCTACAGCTTGGAGAACAAGGAGGTGGGTGATAGTAAAATGCCACGTCTGGAGGAAGGTGAAAAGAAGAGCTCCAGGTAAGGAAAGCAGCCTCATTCACAGGGATTATCCCACGCAGTGAGAGGAGCCGCAGTCCTGTAGCATTCCACATGATCGCAACATTTGCACCAAAGGATATTAAACTGCACCGGGACCAGTGACCTTCATTCTGGTGCTTGCTAACTTTTGGGTGGCTTTCTGCAGTGCTAAGGATCTTTCCCTGCGTGCTGATTTCCAAATAGAAATCAGTACATTCCACTCCAAGGGTTTGGGCCTGTGTCTGTATAGTAAGCAGTGGATGTGAAATCATATTAAACATGACCTAACCAAGGTCCTGATTTTACCATTTCTCGTACTTAATTGGCATATCTATTTGGGCAGACAGTACTGCTAAAATAAAGGATTGTTTCTCAGAGCAAAGAGTTGGCAGGAATCTTCTATAACCACAGTATTCTAATTATTAAAAACAATTAAAGTACTATCAGACAGTGAAAAGAATTCATCAATGACTTCAGCTGGAACAAGAACATGATTAAGATAGAGGCATATCACATAAGTGTCTCTTGTTAAGTTAGAGAAGATATAACATTTATACTACCTGGAAAATATAATATGATGTGTAAGTATAATGAGGCTTTTTCAAAGAAGTAGGAGGCAAGACAAAACAAGAATTAATAAAAAAATTAGGAGGCATTGAATCAAGGAGTGTAAATATATTTTAAAAATTAATAAAATTTGAACACATACAATATTTTAAAGAAAGATTATGACCTTTTAACTATTTTGATTTATACTATTTTGAACTTGCACTTTTTTTCCCAGTCTGAAAGCTTAATTATAGTTTTATAGGCAAAATATGACTTGGGGTTGTCTTGCCAAAACGTGAGTGAAGCTTAGCAACAAGTACATATTTGTATAAAAAAAATTATATCATTCTTTTTTTGTTGTTTTATAATATCACGTTCAGGATATAACAGCACAGACACAATAACCACGAGGACTTTAAAAAAAAATCACTTTAAGAATTACCTAGCAAAACATTTCCTCATCAATAGCTTTGCATAAGTCTCATCAATTCTAAAATTATGATTTGCTGTCACTGCATACTTGAAGAAATCACAACTTTTTCCCTACTGCTTTCTCTGTCTTGCAAATTAGATGCTCATGACACAGGAAAAGATGTCAGTTTTCGCACTTCATCAGCCAATTGGTACAGGAGCACCACTTTTGGCTCCCAGCAGAATACTTAAGAGCTTCCCAGAATTCAATGTCTAGGTGCAAACTACTGGCTTATGTAAGCTATACTTCAGCACAGCTCCAAGACAACTTATTTTCAGCTGGTTTATGATACAAACTACACCCACTAAGGAACAATTGTGTGCCTTAAGGATGGAGATGGGAGTAAGCTGAGTATACAAAAAAAAAAAATCCACATTAAAATAGATATTGCAGGCACTTGCTGACTCATGTGTTCAGGCAAACACATAGATTTTTTATGTACCATCTTGTCTTCCTTAGCTTGAGTGAATTCCTTGACTGTTCTTGAAAATCTGTCCCTATCTGAAGTAACTGTAGACAACGCTGCAGTGTTGGTTTTGTACAGTGGGCTGCATCAGATCATCTTGAAACTGAGCACAGAAACCTGTTAAATACACTTATCACCACCCAATCTTGATTTTTTTTACTTTCTATGCAAGCACTTATAGTGTAAAGCTTCCTTTTGTTAAATCTTTTTTCTTATTAAACATTGAGAAGTATCAAAACCAATTCCTCTTTTGCTTCATAATTCGTGGTTCTTCCCAAACAGAAGCAGATAGATACAGATGCCTCAGAAGAATCCAGAGATGCATAGTCAGTAAAATAGCCAACCTTTTGTCCTCTTCTAGAGAAGAATTTAGTTAAAATCTCTCTTAGCTGAATTTTAGAATTACATAATTCTAAAACCTTTGCATCTTGTGGACAAACAGAGCAAAAATATAATTAGTTGTGTGTTCCCTGTAGGTTTGATGTTTATGAAATTTAAAATCTATACGTTCCCTGTAGACCTTTTTCAGTTAAAGACTTCAAGTGTGAAAGGTTGGAATATGAGGTGAGAATTAAATGATTTAAAACTTTTGATATCCGAAGACAATGCATTTGACAATAAGTATCTCCCTAATTTTGAGTGTATAAGACAAATCCTAGAAAGGATAAAGGTCTTTAATATGTTATATGCATCTGTCCATGCAACATGCTACAGACAGTTTCTGGTAGATGCAGCAGATTTCAGCTATGACAGTATTTTGCTGTTCTCAAATGATTAAACCAGGGATTAAACTTCATATGATTTCACAAAATATATGAAAAAGCTGCAATGCATTTCTACATGAAGCAATAATTCCCTCTATTAAAATACTGCATGATAATTACCTTTTGTATTGTCTTCAAATTAGTCTTTTAGTTCAGACTGTGTGACACTATATGGATAAGTTTTTATTAGTTGGTTTTGTGGTTTTATTCCCCCTCTTTGTTGCAGTGTTGCATGTTCTCTCTGTGTACAGTGCAGGTTGAAGTTAAGTCTTCCATTCACTTACAAGTCTCTTCTCTCCAGTATTTTTTAAGATAAATATTTCTTCAATGTGAATATTTTCTTTTTTCTTTTAGGGTTACTTATTTTGTGGTCTTTCACACTGAAAGAAACCAGACCAAACCAAAGTAAATGTGGTAGACATGAAATTATGACCTTTTTTTACATAAAACTTAGAAGAAAGCTCATGAAAAAAGTTGAGTTATATTTAGATCTGTCCCTCAATTAGCATTTCTTTGTGTTGAACATGATAAATGCCTCAATAACCTTGACAGAAGCTCTGAGATTTTTTTAATGTGGAATTCTAAATATTATATATAGTGTATGTACATAGATATATAAATTTCACATCCTTTAAGTAGCAATTATGCCCTGTAGCCAGGCATTTGTTAGTAACTAACGACTGGGTGGGGTAAGGAGGTTATCTTTTTCTTGCTTAATCATTGATTTCCAACAGGTGCCAAACACATTCATTAAGGAATTACTTTAGAAACCAGGGAGAAATTAATTTTTCCAGAGAGCCTTACTGTCTTCAAAGCTGATAGCTGTAATTTTGAATTTTGAACATCTCCAGTGACTATCAGCCTGTGCAGCCCTACCCCTCCTATTTTCCATCTCACTGTATAATCTCCTTCTCACCTGTCTTTGCTTTCACCCTTGCTGCACTCCCCTTCACCCCACCTTTCCCGAGGTCTCCACATAGATAATCTCATTATAACTAAATACCACCTGAGCCGCGCTCACGCGAACTCTTCCGAAGGCTGGCCGGGGCTCTCGGCCTGGCTGGCTGGGACACATCCCTTTCCCGGCTGGTTCCTCTTCCCCGCCTCCCTTCGGGCCCCGCACCGGGACCGCGGCGGCTGCGGGAGCGGGGACCGTGCGCGCCGCCAGGGGGCGGTGTCGGCCCTGCCACGGCCCTGCCCTGGGTTGTGCGAGGCTGGGTCCGTGCGGCGCCGGGGCTGTGAGGGGCCGTGCGGGGCTGGGGCTGTGCGGAGCTGGGGCTGTGAGGGGCCGTGCGGGGCCGGGTCCGTGCGGCGCCGGGGCTGTGAGGGGCTGTGCGGGGCTGGGGCTGTGCGGAGCTGGGGCTGTGAGGGGCCGTGCGGAGCTGGGGCTGTGCGGAGCTGGGGCTGTGAGGGGCCGTGCGGGACCAGGTCCGTGTGGATTGGTACTGGTCCGGGTCTGTGCGGGTCCAGGTCTGTGCGGGGCTGAGCGGGGCCGTGCGGATCCGGGGCCGTGCGGGGCGGGACCGCCACGAGCCGTGAGGGAAGCGAGCGGCGGGGAAAGGGCGGCGAACTCGCAGCCCCGCACGACCTGCCCTGCTCTGGGCTCGTTTTCAAGAGACGGAGGAGCCCCAACGCGAGTCTCCACCGTTTCTTGTGAGACCCCCTCACGCCTCGCACTCTCACCGCCGGCCCGCCCTCAGCAGCCGGTTCACCTCACACCCGCAGCCCCTGCTGGCAGCGCTCCCTCGCTCGGCGTCGCTGCCCCTGCCACAGCGCCTCTGGGCGAGCGCTGCGGGATGTGTCACTTGTCACCTCTCCCACACGCTGCTTTTGCCCCGGCACGGGGGGCAGCAGCCCAAACGTGCCTAAATCTCGTGCGGGGAAGCATTCCCGGGCCGACCCAGCTCCCGACGGGCGACACGGCCCTTCCTGCACCCTCTTCCCGAGGGTTGTGGCGGGGGCGCCCGGGTGCGACCACGGCCTCACAGCCCCACCTGCCCTCGCCCGCACCGCCCCGAGCGCCCGTCCGGGCGTCCCGCGGGCACGCCCCTCCCCGCGCCCATTGGCCGCCGAGGCGCCGCCGGGGGGCGGGCGCGGTGCTGATTGGCCGAGCGGGCCGTCTCTCAGCGCCGCCCGTCAACACACGCCCGGCTCCTGTCACAACAGCGCGGGGCTGTGGCTGCACTTCCTGCGCGCCCCCCGCCCCTGCCGCGTCCCGCCGGGCGCCCCGCGCTGGGACACGACCATGGCTCCTCCGGGGAGAGCTGGCGCTGCTGCCACCGCCGTACCGTGAGGGGAGCGCCGCGGGACGCCGTCCGCTCCTCCGTCCGTGTGACCCTCCCCCCCCGCCCTCCCAGCGCCCCGGAGAAGTTGACGCCGCTGGCGGGGCAATGGCAGAGGCTGCCGGCGGCAGAGAGCAGCCCGCGGCGGGCCGTGCCCCTGCCGACGCCGCGCACCGTGCCGAGGAGGAGCCCGAGCCGGCTTCGCTGGACGCCCCGGCGGGGGCCGCGGGCAGGAGGCGAGAGCGCCGCAGCGGCGTCTCGGCCGTCGGCACCGCCGAGCGCTTCCCCGGCGGCAGCCTGGGGCCGGCGGCAGCGCCCGACCCCGACGCCTGCCTGCTGGAGGCGGCCAAGGCCACCCCGCGGAGGAGCAGCATCATCAAGGTAAGGCTGCGCCGCCCCGCCCGCGAAGTTTCCGCGGGTCCCGCCGCCGGGCTGCCCGGGCTGGAGCCGCCCTCCGGTGTGCCCGGGGCCGCGGGGGGAGCCGCGGCGGGCAGGGGGCGGTGGGAGCCCGCCGGGCACGGGCTGCGCGCACCTTCCGCGCAGGGGGAGCAGCCGCTCCGCTCCCCGCCTGCAGCGGGCAAGGGCGGCGGGGCCCCGGCGCTGCCCCCCCGGAGCTCCCGGAGAACGGTGGGTCCCCGGAGCGAGGGGCTGTCCGAGGTCTGTGCCAGGGCGCTGCTCCCGCCGCCCCGGGAGCTGTCGGGGTCCCACCCGCGCTCCTGCGGGACCCGTGGGTTTCGCAGCGGGGCAGCTCCCCGCCGAGTTGTAAAGTTATTTGTGTAGCAGCTCCTATCTGTTCTTATTTAATATTCATGAAATACCTGGAGGCAGAATAAATAGCTTCCACAGCGCTGGGTTTCTTTGCTCTTGACTAGCAAAATATGCGGTGGCACAAATTAACAGGAGGTGTGTTTGGACACAGGATGTAGTACAGATTGCTACGGAGCAGCGCCGTGTGTTTAGCACCCTTAATGTCAAATTAACAGGTCGGGCGTGATCTTAAAGCCTCCGCCTTTGTTATGTTTTGGTAAGGAAAATGGCTTTATGATTATGTTAATTTTTTTCCGGTTTAATTTTTAAAAATAAACGATGTGGTTTCGAATTAAATGGTATCTCCTTGCGAGTACGTGGGCTAATCGCTAGTTTCTGGGGAACCGATGAATGAAGTCTCCTGGGCAAACTTAATTTAGCATACGGTCACACGTGATCCTCTTGTAGTGATTTGCACTTGGAAGGCATCGGGAGAACAGTGGAAAATGAGACTTCACTTCTCTAAATGTGTGAAGGCACTGGGCAAAGCTCTAGCTCAAGGCAAGAAGGAAGAATACAGGCTTAGCTCTTACAGCTTAGTATGTCTATTCAAAGGAAGAATAGAAAAGCAAAATATTTGCTTTTTGCATTTTACAGTTTTCAAGTCAGAGGAGACCGAAGTAGATAAGTGGAAAACAGCCTCGAGGATCCTTTGCAGGTTTCACCTTGAAATATTAACCCATTTAACCCAACAAAGCGTTGAATGGTGGTTTCAGTCTTCTAAAGGCTAATGTGATGGGAATACTTCCCAATCTCAAGCTGCATAAATGCATTCCTAAATCAGGACCAAAGTTCTGTAACTGTGCTGGTATGGAAATGGTATTTTTTTCTTGGAGTTGTGTGAAGGCTTCAGGATCTGAAAATACACAATCTTGGATTGCAATTAAGAAACATCATTATTTTGCAGACTATACCAGTAGATATGTTTTAATCACATAAATGACGTATAAATGTTGATGGCTGGGTAGCATTTTCACTACAGGTTGGTAACAATACTACCGAGAGTGATAATGATCACTCCTCTAACTGAAGGAAATTTCTTCAGATACATCCTGGGATGGTGTTTACCAGGAGAGAGATTTCTGACAGAGATAAGAAAGAATTAATGTTGTTAAACAAGGAACTGGTAAGGCCTCATCTGAAATACTGGGTAAACTCAGTTTCCTGTGTTTAGGAATGGTGCATTCAATCTGAGGCAGATGCATAGAAGGATAGTGAGGATGGGCTGATAAAGCCAATGGATTGAATACTGTATGAGGGAAAATTTGATTTCATGAACAAAAGCAAAGGATGCCTTTGCATAGATCCAGTCCGAAAACTCAAAAGTTATTCCAGGCACTATAAGAATTTGAATGAATATCATAATTTCTTATGATAGAAATGGAATGAAGAATACTGTAATTAATCTTAAATATAGTTGTTAAGCAGCTGGATGAAATTAGATAACATGGCTGTGTCTGACAGCAGGTATCTGAACTTGAGAATTCCCAGGCTGTGCATCTCTAAGGCAACTGTTGGGGCCCCATACAGACCATTGTGTTTCTTGTCCCACAAGGCTGTCTCAATGGTATATAAAATCACAGTTTTCTTTTGGCATTATACTAGTGAATAGGAAATACTTTTAACTTGGGCTAGAAATTAAATAATTTATTAGTCTGCATCTTTCAGGAATTTCTGATGTTGTAGGAGATGTTCAGCAGGTGTTAGGTGGAAATTTTAGATGGAATTAAGATAAAATCCTGCAGTTTATTTTACCTCTTTTTTCAACTCACCTTCAACATGCAGGATTTCTGCTCAAGCATAGCGTGTTTTGCAGGGGAAAGAATTTTACACTATTTTATTATATTTATTTTACTCTGAAAAGTCCGTATGTTCATCTAAATTTATAGTCAAAATAGTATCCATTGCTTTCTTTAAACTGATCTTACCAGCTGAAAAATGAGGCTTAAGAAAGCAAAGGAAGTTGAACAGTAAGGACAGAACTGCAGGAGTTGAACACTCTTGCCCTGTTTTTCCATTTCTCTCCTGACTATTTAAAGGTGTACTTTAAACTCGAGTGGTCTTGCTCAGTTAAGCAGAACATTAAAATTCTGTAGATTCAGATGATCAAAGTACACTTTTAACAGCATTTTTTTCCCCAGCTGTCTTTTAGAACTCAGGAAGTCTCAAGGTTAGCATCTGAGAGTGCAGTTCCAGTGGAAGCCAGACTTGCTTACATTGGAGTGTTCTGGCATCCACAGTATAACTGTGAAGTACAAAGACTGAACTGGGACTTGCTTTGAAAACCTTTCCTGCAGCAAATTCCACTTGGCGTATACTGCAAGTAAAATATGAACCCTTCTAGATAATCTTCAGTGCATTCATGTGTTCTATATTTGGCTTCAGAAACAAGAGAACTCATTTATATAAAAAGAACAAAATGTAGCCAGAATATTTTTATTCACATTTTGCTTTGCTGATGTTCACAGCTTTGTAGATTAAGTTTAAAATAGGATTCATGAGAAATAGTTGTGACCATTCTTGTGCATTAGAAAATTTCCCTAATACATGTGTATTAGTTGTTTTTTTAGGGTTTCTGTTTGGCTTTTTTTTTTCCTGTTGCAAGGAAGAAGTAAATGGTCTTACTACAGAACTGGAGCAAGAAAGGGAGCTTGCCATGAGGAGCCTGAAATCAGAGTATAATGCTCGGGAGTAAACTTAGATAAATAGCAAGAGATCATAGAACTTGAGCCATTTTCTAAAAAGCCTAAAGATGGACCATCCATTGACTAAATTATTTGCCAAATGTTTCTTTTTTCTATTTTTTTTTTTTCCACCTTGGGAATAATCCAGGGCCAATTGTTTGCAAATAAAATGTTAATTGCAACCACTTCCAGGCTAGGAGAGCAGAAGATAGTGCTCAAAGAACTGGATGTCTTCTTTCTTAACATGTAATGCTTCCTGGGGGGGGGGGTGTTCTAAACAGCGTTGACTGATGTTGTATTCCTTCTGGCATGTTCCTTCTGAAATTGCCATGTACAAGCATTTTAATAAATGGGTAGGAAGGCTGCGTAATTTGTTATGTAACGTCTCCTGAAATACTTTGTAACTTTCTATCAAAATATTTCCCTGTCAATTCTTATCAGGCTTCTCTCTGCTTTGTTTGCATGCAATACAAACATTTTGGATTGTGTGTTTGTTTTTTTTCTTCTTCCTGGATCTTTGTGTCAAGATACTGTAGCAGATAACACAGCTCTGTATTGCGTTAGTAGCAACAGACTGTGCCCAGGAGATGAACTTGAAGTAGCAACTGCAGAGTCAAGACTTTTAACTTCAGGCACAGTAGAGCTATGAGACTTTTCACTGAAGTTCTTCCAAAGGCCACTTGCTTGCTTCATGCAGAGATTTTGCTTTAAAAGCCACTTGAGCTGTCCTTGCCTGTACCATACTACTAGTTTAAGAACTGCAAGGATTAGTGTTTTGCGATTGAATTCATCAGTGGAAGTGTATCAAGATAGCCAGCTGTCTTATTTCAAGACTTGTATTTATCCTGGTGACATTTTTAGCTTTAAAAAAACAAACCTGCAATAAAACCAATGAGGCTTAGTTTCTTTCAGTTTGTATTCTGAAGTGTGGTGGCAAAATTTAAGTGTTCTAAATGCGTGCTACATCTGTCTATGCAACATGACTATTTAAGGCTTTTTTTCATAAGACAGACTTGTTCAGGACTGTAATGATTCTCCAGTAACTCTTGCATAGCTTTTTGTTTTGTAAGCTTACATTTATACACTTGCTGTGTAATAATCTAAAACTATGACTCTGAAAGATTCATTAAAGCTGATTAATTACTTGATAGTCCAGTGGTGATTTTATCACAACTGCATTCTTTGGCATCTTCATATGTACCATATAAAAAGAGGAGAATATTTAGGTAGGAATTACATTAAATAATTCAGTAGAGCCTGAAAAGGTATTGGGAAGGGCAAGAATGGCATGTCTAGCCGTGCACAGAGTGCCACAAAATGAGAAATTCATCGTGTGGATTGAGAAAAAGGTAACTGGTGGGGGATATCTTCATGTATGTACATTTCCAAGCATTGTGGAGAGAGAAATGGGGAAATGATTTTCATTCTCTTTCGTAGAATGTGAAGTCAGGAAAAACCCAGTGATAGTTCTTTAACAGTGGGTTTAAAATACATGGCAGCATTTTCTGATGCAGCATGTGATTAAATCATGCACTTAACAGCCACAGAAAGCTGTGGCAGTCAGAAATGTAAATGGGTTTGAGCTGGTTTGAGATGACAAATTGATGGAGGAGACCTTCACAATGCAGCAAAAGCATCTGGCTTAGAAAGTTCCTAAACTACAAGTGGTTGAACACTGGGAAGCCACAGCAGAGAATTGATCACTTTGTACTTTCTTGCTTGTTATGCCTCCCCAGGCATGTACTCCGTAGCTGGGATACCAGCCTAGACTGACCTTTCTCTAATCCGGTATCTGGTTGTTAAGAAAAACTTAAATACACTGTTAAGAGACCCAGGAAACTGTTTTCCATTATTGCTAGTGTAAAAATTTCTTAGAAATGAAAAGAATCT